CTGGAGCAGGTTTCATTGCTGTAGCTTTGGGTTCATTGCAATAGCCTGATAGTTCTGCCTTGTCTATACTGATTTTTTTTTTTTTTTTGCTTTTATTTCCTTTTGTTTTCTTTTTTCAAGAAGAATTGGAATGAGTCCTCAACAGCAGGGGGTGTGAACCTCAGCACAGAGCTGCAAGCCGTTAAAGTAGATGGATAGTAAATATTTACCTCCAAATGCCACTTAATAAATGACAGCTATTTGTTCATAATCTGCACGATCATTGTGCGTTTCGAACGGTGATTTTGCTAAGCAAAATACATGCAACTAAAACAGCCCATAAACTTTACTTGAATGTTCCCACGAGTTCTTCTCCTGGCATCTTCAGCCTATGCACGTGAAATCAGATCTCCCCAACTGACAGGCTGGTTTTGGACTGCCTGTGTATTGTAAGTACCCTGAAACCTCTACTACAGAGCCACTAACTTTACTAGGGAAGACAGATTGCTGAGCTGAAGACCTGCCCCTCATTTTAAGGCTGAGTTACAGGCACAGCTGTGCTTACCTTCTCATATGAGAAGGATGTTCCCATTTTCAAAGATTGCTGGAAAACGAGGGAGATGCCCCTAAGCAAGCAAAGGGGCCCTTATCACTGAGGAGAATCACAACCAGGCTCGGACCATTATGACTTTCTGGTTTTGTCCAAAAGACTGCTGATCAGGAGACTCTTATCCTGAGTAAAAAGGGCATAGAAAGTAGTTATTTGAGGAGTCAGCTAGTCTGTGGCTGCCTGCAAGTGGTTCTTCAGGGATAGTGAGCATCAGACCTTGAAGAATGAATTGTTTAGGAGCTGGGTGACTCTGAGTAGTTTGTCTTTATACAGCGGAGAGCCATTCTGTAAAACCAGTCCCGCTTCTAAGCGCTAGGAAGCTCCCACTGGCCCCGGGTGGATTAGTGATGTATGGGCTGTCTGTCCTGATCACTTAGGTTCACTGTGTCACACACATGACTTGGTATTTTCTTTTTTTCAGTTGTAGTCACTGTGCGTGGAGAGGTAAGTGTGATCACCAGTTTTTTTCCATTCCTTAGGGCAACAGCGTAGCTGGGTCTCTGTATTCCACGATTCCTAACTTCCAGCTAGATTGCTAGTTTTCCCGGGGTGTTTGAGGAAGCTCTGTATACATGACTGTAGAAGAAGGTATTCTATAATCGCTTTTTTCCTGAAGACAGCTGTCCCTTTCACCCTGCATCTCACAGGTGTTTGAAGGGGATCATATTTAAGTCCTAGGCTTGTAATTTTCCTTGGGGCACAGAGCTTTGCCTGCCAGGACCTCACTGCAGAACAAGTAGGTTCTCCTCTCAGGTCTGCGGTGCACCTTCTGGATGACTATTGAGCCAAAGGGAGGTTTATTAATTACACTGTTTGTTTTTTCTCTCCTGTTTCTCCAAGGTATTTTATTGCAAGTACAAAAGGAACTTCTGCTTTCACAATTGCTTTTTACCCTTCAACCTGTCACTGTTTTGTGTATTTCTGCAGAGTGAGTTGTTTTGATAACGCTTAGGTTTTAATGTTTCCCTAACACTTTTGTAGGGTTTCGGGTTCATAGGGAGGTTGACGAGGGGGGGTTGCATTCAGACCTGAATCAAAATTTTTAAAGCCTTTTCCTTCCAAGTTCCGGAAATTCCCTGTCACCTGCACAACCTGCTTTTGTTTGTAGAGCTGTGCCTCCTGTGGATGGAGGATGTCCTGAGCTCAGGTTAGTCTTTGACTATTTTTCTTGGTTATTCAACCCAGCGATTTAATGCCTGTATTCCTGCTTATGATCTTGCTAAATCATTGCTTGGAGACTGTGTGTTTTAGAGAGGTTTTTCCTCCTTAGTGTAGGCTTTTATATAAGAGACAGCAGAACCACCGGAGTTGTTTGTATGCTCTGTCTAGCCTGTGAGGACATCACGGGGTAGAGTTGGAGCTCAGCATGGGAAAGTGGAGAGAGATTTTTCTTGTGGGTCAGGTGTCCTGAGCACACAGTCTGATTTGCACTGGATCATGGCAGCTTTGGTAATAAGGACCAGTAGCCAGGCTACTGATCTCCCTTTTGTTTTCCTTTCAGATTGATCCAGTCTCAGGGATGGTTATAAACCTAACAGACCTGAAAGAATATATGCAGGTAATAGTGCTACTTTCCTAGACAACAGCAGTTTGTTTAGTACCAAGGTGGAGACACTGTGAGTTGGTAGTGTAAGAAATAAAGAAGAAATTAAGAAGTGATGTCAGACCTAAATGCTTTAGCGCAGTGGTGTGAGGCAGCACAACGTATCCTGCTAGGAAGCTAACAGGCGGATGTAGGGCTCCTATCCTTTCGAAACATACTGTTGCCTTCCTCCAAACTGACATGCATGATAATTTGGACCCCAGTACACTGTCCCTACTGGGACAGTATTGCTGATGCTGCTAATTGCTGTTGCTGATTGCTGTTAATGTTACTGATTGCTCTTGTCTGCCTACAGGAGGCCATCATGGAGCCACTTGACCACAAAAACTTGGATAAGGATGTGCCCTACTTTGCTGAGGTTGTGAGGTGTGTGGTAGGGACTCCTTTGAGTTGCACGGCCTGGGAATAGTCTCTGGGGCTGAGTCCTACATCTGAAGCAGCAGCCTCTGAAGCAGCTGTGCATTTCACATGCTGGGTGTCCTGGCTGCCCTACATCCCTGTGGCTGGCTGGGTGCGGGCCTGCTGGGGCAGCTGTGGTCCCCCATGCTCTGGAAGGCACAGCTCACTCTCACCTAAGGAGCCCTTTGCACATTGGTACTTCTCACAGTGAGCCTGCTCTGTAGATATCTTGGGGAGACAGATATAACCTGTTAATTAGAGCTAGTGTTACGTGTGTTTGCTGGCACTGGTTCGAGCCCCACTTGCATTCAGTGTGTCATCTCATGAAAGCTGCCCGCATGCTTCCCCTTGGCCTTTCTCATGCCCGTTCTAGGTAGAGCCTAGTCAAACGCCATTGCTGTCGGTTCTCAGTGCGCTCCCCTTTTACTCCTAGCACCACTGAGAACGTTGCCGTGTTCATCTGGGAAAACCTCAAGAAGCTCCTGCCCATGGGGACTCTTTACAAAGTCAAAGTGTACGAAACAGACCAGAACATTGTCGTGTACAAAGGAGAAGAAACAATCTCTGAGAAGTGAAATGAGCTTAAGCTCAGGTGATCAGAAATCCTGCTGTCTAATTACATCAGTGAATTACTTCAGCCCTGTGCACCGTATCTCTTATATGTGGACACTGATTTTGCATTTCAGAAGGACAAGAATAGGTATTTTACAAAAATTCTTGCAGCAAGCTGGCAGTTGGGGTTCACAGAATTTGTTGATTTGTCTGCTTTTTTCCAAGACATTTCTTTTTTGCAAACCCCAGCCATCAAGCTGATGCAAAACCTGCGGTTGTACTGTGTTAAATAAAGCAGCTTCCTAGAGAGTCTTGCAAAGTGTATATCCCTTTCAACCACAAGAGGCTTTGACTTTCTCTAATTAAACACTGGATTAATTTATGGATTTTTAATAGCCTCGACTTTGTTTTTTGTTTTGCTTCTTGATCAGATAGAGAGTGACAACTCCGTGAATTTTTTCTTTAGTGGTTCAGACTCTCCTTCCTCTGGCTAGCAGGTCTGTTTCTGTATAAGGAACTGGTATAGTGAGTAATAAAATTGTTTGCAAAGCAATTCCAGTATAGCTGCAAAGCTAAAGAGAACAGTACATTGTTGAGAATGAGCATGAAGAGCTGAGGAAAAAAGTTAGAGCGTCTTTTAAACTGGGCTGGCTTGTGTGCTTTTGCCAGGACACATTGGCCTGAAAACTCCAGACAGAAGGTGAAAGCGGAGTGGGAGAGGAAATAGGAACATTGCAGCCCCAACTGCGTAAGAGAGCCCTCATGCAGTGGTCAAAGTGCCCTATGGGAAGTAGGTGAGAATAAAGGCTTAAATCCTGATTACCCAGCTGCTGTCCCAAAGCTGCCACTCCTGTGAAGTTTTACTAAGAGAATACTTTTCATGTTATCAGATTCTGGCTGAGTTTGTCTCATCATTGTGTAAGCAATCACTTTATTGGTACCCTGTGGTGCTAGCTCAGTACAGGACCAGAGCAGACAGACATGATCCTCACCTTGCTGTAGAGTCATCCCTGCTACAGGAGGCTTTCCGTTCAACGTCTGATGTGGAGAGCTGGTGCAGCAGGGAAGGACCTGTGATACCTTGAGACTCTATTCATTTAAAGTCCCCTAAAAGCTTGTAGGCACAAGCGGTCAGGTCGAGTATGTTTTTCTTAAGGAAGTCCTTATGAATTCTAGGAATAAACTCCCCCCTTTTTTCTCTCTGGAGAAAGCAGTCAGCTGGTGCTCCTGTTGTGATGATCAGCAGTTACTTAGACTTTTCATAATCAGAACTCCATGTCAAAAAGGTCTCGTAGACAAAAGGAGCACCTGGCATGCATCAGTCCTTGACGCTGGTGCTTCCCACTGTCTCCTTTGCAAATCGGGTGATGCTGCGCTGTTAGTTCAGCACAGGTTGTTACAAAAGGATGAGGTTGTAAGATGTGTTTATATGAACACTAACCAAATAATTCTGAAGATTCCTGAAATTGTAGGCATACCATGAAAGCTGAGTGCAGGAAGAATGCATGTAAAACCAGTGAGGGAACGATTATTGCACAACTGCAATGGTTGTTTTTAGGGTCATAAGATCAAATTCTCCGCCTAGAGGCAGAAGTGATAGTACTGTATGTGATTCTCTTTATCACATGAGCAAAGTCCTGAAGGGGAGTCAGAGTAATTAGACGATACGACCAGGAAGCTAGCAATGCACATAATTAAAAAAGTGACATCCAGAGCGATAATTCCCTTGCTTTACAAGGAAATTATGTGTCTGAATAGCGATAGCAAACAGCAGTATTTTGAAAGGTTTAATGAACCTTGCCTGATAGTTAACCTTGGCCTTGCTTCACTGCAGGCTGAAGGCAAACTATTGTTCTGTAGCTACCGACTTGGCTGGAAAGTAGCTTTTATAATTCCAAAAAATACTTTGACTGCTTTCTCTTAAACCGTGACTACTTTCTATGGGCCACAGTTCTGTGTTGTATCGTACCTTGATCCACCTTTGTTCAGATTTTCTGGGTGAGCTTCTAAAAGGGGGTTGGTTATAAGGAACGGCTAGATATGAGAGGTGTTCCTGCCCACCTTCCTTTTTTGGCAGAGCAAAACCTCTGCCATTGAGGTTCCAGTGTTCATTTCTTTCTTCTTAAAGACAGTCCTTTGGAGAATAACTGCCTGCGAATTCGTTCCAGTGTCACCCAAGTAGGTGAGTCACCCAAGCAGGGAGTGCTCAGTGCATCAAATGAAGGGAACGTGCCCCCCCACCCCCACCCCCAACCTTTTTTTCCCCAGCAGTGGCACCAGTCAGCTTTTTTCAGTGTGAGCTCTGGCCAGGGAGATTTTGCAGTTTACCTGGATGTTCCTGCCGGTATGTATTTTGTCAGGTTTTCATTCCGGTTTGCTGTAATAAATGACGTAGATCGTACGTGGATGATAGCTGCTGTTGATGAGTCACAACGCGTTTGCTGTCATCAGTGCATCACAGAGACTAAAATGGATCATATGGTATCTTTACCAGAAGCCTAATTCAGCTGTTGACATTATTGGCAAAAACAAACAACTGGGTACATCTGTGTAGCACAGCTCAGTGCTACTACTAGCCCAAGTGAGGTGCTGGGCCATGGATGCTAGCCCAAACCCCTTATCTTTTCCTCCAGTGTAATATAGCATTGACAAAGTCCTGCAATAGCATGGGCGTTTCTGTTTATCGCTGTATTGCTTGTTGCGTGTACCTGGATCCTGTATTCCAAGCAGTCCAGTTTAAATGGTAGCAAATCTGGAGAGACTGAAATAAATTGGCTTACTGGGTAGCAGCTTGGGTGAAGGGGGTTGGCAGTATCAGAGCTGGAATTCTAATTGCTGATATCCCAAGAAACTGCAGTATATTCTGTCCCTTCTCCTACCTTAGAGGGATCTGCGTCCTTGCAGGTGTGTATGAGCTCCATGTAGGGAAGTCTCTGTAGCCTCCAAATACAGAGGAGGGTGGTATAAGGAGAGAATTAACTCACATCAGTAAGAATCCCTTTGCCGTAACTTATTTATTGAATGATGGAATGGTTTGAGGGAGGATCATTCAGGTGACTCATAACAGCAAGTTAAAAGGTCAAAGCTGATCCCAGGAGAGTTACTGTAGGAGCAAGACTTCATACTTCAGTGCATATGAATGTAAATAGCAGTGTAACGGCAGCAGGATCAGAACGTGCTATCTGTGCTGTGCTTAGCAGGGCCTGAGTTGGAAGGCTCAGTTCTTCCTGTCACACGGAAAGATAAATAATCAGGTTCTTTAGAAAAGTGGTGTCAGGGCAGGGACAGAGTGAATGGGGAGCCTGTGCGAGAAGCTGGCCTCCTCAGTGCCTGCTGCTGCATTCGCACTCACGCCGCGCTTCAGCTAACGTGACCGTTCGGTTCTGCCAACTAGAAGCAAAGCCTGAGGCTGCCCAGTTTCAAAGCAAAGCCGTTCGGCAACAGCCCCCCTTTTGTTTTAATTCTTCCTAGGGGACGATTTCCCATTTGGCCTCGTTGCGAGGAGAAAAAGTCTTTTTTCTGGTCTTGGAACGCAGTGACCACAGGAGGACTCTGGGTTCAGCTGCAGCTTTTGCAGCGTGGGGAGTGGGAATTGATCGTTTTCCCATGACGTCTGAAGTTATGAAACGGGGCACAGCACAAGGGATGCTATTAGAAAAGGAGCAGCAAAGCGAAAGCCAGCAGTTTTTCTGAGCCGCGTTCTGGAGCTTGGTCTTACATGCCACTCCCTGGGCTGTTATTTATAGTTCATTGTAGTCCCAACAATGACCAAGTTAATAAATAATCCGAGCATCGTTGTTGATGAGGGGCTACGTGTGGGACATGAAGCCCCTGCCAGGAGCTGTTCCTCTGGCGCTCAGGCGACCGGCCGCGTGTTACAGTTGCTGAACTGAAGCTTGCTCCTGTAGCATGGCTCCTTTGCGTGTGCGCGCAGTGGCAGGAACGCAAGGAGCATCGCCGGCCCTTTCACAGGACCTCTGCCCCGTTGGCTGCCCGAGACCGGCGGTGCCCTGGCGGGGAACAAGAAGTGAAACGAGGCCGCCGGAGAGCCGCCGGCTTTGTCCTGTGCAGGGGCTGGGCGGCACACAGTGAACGGAGCTGGGCGCTCCGGGGGAGAAGGAAATGCTGCCGGTAAGAGCTGCTGAGCGACCGAGGGAGACAATCCCACCCTGCAGAAGTGCAGCATGAGGCTCTGGGGAAAGCAATGCTGGAGAAAAGAGCACGTGAGGAGGATAAAGAGCATTTTGACGCTGTCCTCCTGCAGCGAGCGTTATCTGTCCTGTGTAAATCAGTGAGGCCAGGGCCTGGGGGAAAAAGGGTGTGATCTTACCACATATGCACAAGGGGAGGTGATTTATGGCAAAGAAAGTCATGGTTCAGGCATTTCCTGGTGTTTGCCTCCTTCACCCTGCAACTCTACTGTCCTTTTAACTTGTATGGGTGTGGGTGTCCATATGTACAAGAGAGTCATTAGGATGGGAGGGAAGGCAAACTTTTGCTGTACCAAGGGTATGATTTGTTTATTCAGACGCTCCGCTGAAGCACTCGTTTGGAAAACTCATGGCTGCTCTAAAAGTTATTTTAAAATGTCTGAGGATGTGGCAAGGGACAAAGCGATGCTGGCCCAAGGCGAGGCACCTCTGAGCCAAATGTCCCTACTTAAATCTGTGGATACAACGTGACTCTCCTACTGTTCTTATCCACCTCCAGTGGGCTGCTGAGAAAGTAAACGTTGCTGTTACTTCCACTGGAAAGGGACAGGTACAGCCAACAGGAGACCTAGGGCTAACGCTGCATCTTGTTCTGCAGCAGTGAAGGTTTTTTGGGTGACGTAAATTAAGGAAATAAAATTAATCTTTAATCTTGATCGATTGATTTCTCCCAAAATGAACATTGCACTTTCTCCTGCTTTATCTAAGCTAAGAAACATCAACAAGATGTCGAATCTGTAGTCCAAGAAGTTGGGGCCTGTTCTGCTGGTTTCTGCGAGGCATGGTGGGTATCACGACAGCTATTAAACTTGAGGCATTACAGCAAGCCAATGGGAAGGCTGGGAAAATTTTTAATAGATCTTTATTGCTCACAGTAAGACATTTGTCATGGTACTCTGTTAATTATTAATAAATGGTTTAAAACTAAAAACTTCCAGTAGCAGATTCCCACTCATGGTTAACGCAGGGTTTCATCTCTCCCTAAAAATTAGACCTCAGGGCTCATCTGATATATCCTGAGAGCCTCTGCTGTGCCTCGGTAGGCAGTGGAGTCCTTGTCAGGAGCCTGGACTTTGGCTTTGCACTGCCATGCACCTGGCGGTGCCTCCAGAGCGAGGCTGTGCCGTGCCGTGCAGGGAGCAGGGTGCTTCATGGCACAAAGGAGATGAAGAGTGTTTGCCTAGGCTTGTTTCGGGCTGTTGAACAAACTGCCAGTCAATATTTGCTGCCAACTATGGATTCTTTCCAAAAAGACCCAGCGTTGTCCTCCGGTATCACAGGGACAAAGGTTGAACGGAGTCCCTAGGTTTTGGCTCCTGGATGACTGAGAGTCAGCAGAAGGGAGCC